CTGACTTGTGCTTATTGTAAGAAAAATGATCACCTGATGGCTGAATGTTTTAGACTCCAGAAGAAGAATGAAAGAGATAATAAACCCAAGTCTACCGCTTGTACGACATACACCCCTTGTTAACAAGAAGTTGGAATGTCCTGCGAGACAGGCTTTTAAGTCCAGTTTTTGTGATTGCATGTTGATAATACTACTCATCAGCCCATTAAGATTTTACGGGACACTGGAGCTTCTCAGACTTTGTTATTAGAAGGTGTGCTGCCTTTGAGGAGACTTCTGTTGTTGCCTTCGTTTTGTTACAGGATGTGGAGTTAGGTTGTATAGATGTTCCCTTCCATCGTATTTATCTGAAGTCAGATTTAATTACTGGACCAGTTGTTGTGGGTGTTCGTCCTAATCTCCCTGTTGAGGGTGTTTCATTATTGCTAGGAAATGATTTAGCTAGAAACAAAGTGGTTGCTGAACCAATTGTTACCAGTGAACCGGTGGTGGATGTTAAACCACCTGAAGATGATGCTGAACTGTATCCAGCTTGTGTTGTTACTAGGGCGATGGCAAGAAAACAACAAAATGAGAAACAAGAACCAGAGGTTGACTAAGTGGAGTTTATTGTTACAGGAATATGATGTTATTGTATAACATATTAAAGGTAAAGATAATGTAATAGCAGATGCTTTATCTAGATCGTATTAAAACACTATATACATACATTGTACTATGTATTATTGTATATTTATTGTTCATGAAAAGTTCTTGTTACACTCAAACTTTTTTAAGGGGGGAGGTGTTATGATATTGTAATTATATTTATTTATCTTGGACTAATTTGTTTTGTGTGGCCTTATAGTTGTTTATAAAATACTGTTATAACTGTGCACTTTAGAAATCACTGGAACAATCATAGATACTGATGGAATGATTAGAACTTTCTATATGACTTACATAATGATTCCAGAATGATCATTATCTACGATGTAATTTTAACTTCTACCGTATTCTAGAAGTTTCCGTTCTACAGGTTTCTGTAGTTTCCGTTCTACAGTGTTCTAGAGATTTCCGTGACAACTATATATATACAGACACTAAAGTTAGATTTTCACATTAGACATTATCATACTTGGATTCTCAGAAGTTCTCTGGAGTTGTTACATTGACACTTTTATTAACGTTAGTTACATCATACTAGATTGGACATATATTTGAACAGTTAAGTTGACATTTCAATTTGTATAAAATTTCTTGTAAACTTGTGAATAATTAATTTTGTTAAATTTTATTATTGATTTGTTTCTTTTTTTTGGCTACAATTTAAAGGTGATTTTTGGCCGTAACAGCATTTTGTGTGTATTGTAGTCTAGACGCCATCTAATTAACCATCGGGGGCGACCTCCAAAGACTGCCAACGGTCATATATCCTGATATAAACAAAAATATAGATATTAATAGATAGCAAAAACATGCAATTGGTTTTTTCTAGGTCTGTTGGATTTCATATTATTGGTTAAACAAATATGTTAATCATTGTTTTTACCTGTATAAGCATGAGTTTTTGTGGATCAAATCAGTCAACCAAATGGTTTACCTTGTTTCACTTTTAATGTTGACATTCTTTTCTTTTTAATAGTTGAACATGCCTAGTTAATGCATAATCCATCTCTAGCTCAGGGGTTAAATAGAAGGTCATATGAAAATGGATTCAATGAGGTCTAATTATTCACTTGTAAGTGAATAATTCATCAGCGATGTTTCTTAGCTTATTTTAACAAAATTGAACCTAACTGGCTGCTAAAATTATTATTTCACTATTTCAATTTCATTAATGATTGAGCAAAAAAAATCATATTATATTTTTTTTATAGATCTTGTTGTAGCTAATGCCTCTTTAACAGAATACACTAATAGTAATACTCTTATCTTTGAAAAGATGGGGAATTTATAGCATTATAAAAACCTAGAGGCTCTAAAGAGCCTGTGTTGCTCACCTTAGTCTATGTGCATATTCAACAAAGGACTCTCTCTAACATTGTAGACAAGAATATAATTCATGACAGAAATCTCTTTTTTGTTGATCTTTTATTGCTGATCATTTTGTCTGTTTAGTTTGTCTGAATTTTCTTTAGTTTTTGCTCAAAACACAAAAGAGGGTAAAAACATTCTCATTTAAGGACAGTCACTTCTCTGAAGAGTGACAGTCTACTAACTATATTGGCAAAAAATAACTTGTTTGTGGATCTTGCCTTGCTGATCATTTTTGTTATTTAAAGTTTCCATTTATCTATTATAATTTTTATCATATAAGGCAAAATGCAAAAATATTGGTAAAAATCGTCATTAAAAGGCAATAACTCCAATAAGGAGTCGTCAGAAAATTTCTTCCATATTGTCTTAAATGAAGATCTTGTCTTGGTGATCATTTTTGATTATTTAAGTTTCTATCTATTATAGTTTTTAAGATATTAGACAAAAACACAAAAAATTAGTAAAAATCGTCATCAAAGGGCAATAACTCTAATAAGGAGTCAACTGACGATTACGACTATGCAAAACTTATTCCTAGATCTTGTTTTACTGATCATTTTTGCATCTTTTTAGCCATGTAGGCCATCTTGGTTGGCAGGCGGGGCCATCAGACACTTTTTTTAAATTAGATACCCCATGATGATTGTGGCCAAGTTTGATTAAATCTGGTCTAGTAGTTTTAGAGGAGAAGATTTTTGTAAAAGTTAACGGACGACAAACGCCAAGTGATGAGAAAAGTTCACTTGGCCGCATAAGCCAGGTGAGCTAAAAATTAACACTAAAATGTTGATGAAAAATCTCCAGCTATGAGGCCCAAACTCCAACTGAAAATTATTAAATCTCCAGTTGTGACTTGACAGATTGGACATGGTTGAAGAGTAATGGATGCCAAATCACCATAGTAATGAAAATTGCTGATGCTGGCTATGTTTATAAAAACAAATAAATGTGGATAGTGTCCACAGATGATGCCCCCACTTGCATATCATATAGTTATAAAGGGACATAACTGAAGAATGGTAAAAGTGACGCTACCCAAATTTGAACTTGATCTGAGTTTTGTGGTAATAAGCATTGTGTGTAATTCTCATAACATTTGGTTGACTTTAGTAGAGAACAGACACGAAAAATTCAACAATTTTTATGTTTATAAAGGGACATAACTCAAGAATGGTAAAAGTGTCGCCACCAAATTTTGTACTTGATCTGTATTATGTAGTAATAAGCATTGTGTATAAGTTTCATAACATTTGGTTGAGGTAAACTAAAGTTATATAAACTGTTAACACAGAGATATGTCTCTCCTATCTGTTTTTTTTTTATAATGCAAAAAATTAATGTTGAAATTAAAATAGCAATACTTTAACATGTAAGTTATGCAAATATTCAAAGTCAATGAACAATGACTGAAGGTACAGGGCTAAACAATCTCCATGGAAATGAGATGTGCCAATGCTAATACAACTGCAAACCAAATACCATTGACTTTTAATAAGTCGTTCCCTTTAAACAAACCTAAACAAAAACAGTAACTTGTAAACTAAGCAAAAGTTTCAAAGTCAATAAACCATGACTGAGGGGCAAGGACCAAATATTCTCCATGAAAATGAGATGTGCTAATGCTTATACAACTGTATACCATTTATCATTGACCTACCACTAACAGTTCCCCTTAAACTGACCTAATCACAAACTAATACATGAAAACTAAGCAAAAGTTTCAAAGTCAATAGGACATAAATGAGGGGGCAGGGCCAAATAATCTCCATGGAAATGAGATATGCCAATGCTTATACAACTGCATACCAAATATCATTGACCTTCCACTAGTGGTTCCCCATAAACTGACCTAATCACAAACTAATACATGTAAACTAAGCAAAGTTTCAAAGTCAATAGACCTTGACTGAGGGGACGGGGCCAAATAATCTCCATGGTAATGAGATGTGCCAATGCTAATACAACTGCATACCAAATATCATTGACCTACCACTAGTGGTTCCCCATAAACTGACCTAATCACAAACTAATACATGTAAACTAAGCAAAGTTTCAAAGTCAATAGACCTTGACTGAGGAGGCGGGGCAAAATAATCTCTATGGTAATGAGATGTGCCAATGCTAATACAACTGCAAACCAAATATCATTGACCTACCACTATTGGTTCACCATGAACTAGACCTAATCACAAACTAATACATTGATGATGCCGCCGCAGCCGGAAACAGCATACCTATATCTCGCTTTTTGACTCCGTCAAGGCGAGACAAAAACGGAAACAAAAAATTTGTACTTGATCTTAGTTTTTGCGGTAATGAATATTGTGTATAGGTTTCATGTTTGGTTGGGGCAAACTTAAGTAAAAGAATGGAAACTAAAAATTTTGCAATCTTTCGATTTATAAAGGGGCATAACTCAATAATGGTTAAAGTGACACTACCCAAATTCAACTTGATCTGTGTTTTATCAGTGGAAGTCAAAATTAAACATTGCATTGTATAAAGCATTGATAGTAGTTGATTCAACTATAATCATGGACAAAGGAAGATAACTCCAATTTTAAAAATTACTTGATATTTAGAAGAAAACAAAAATTTTGCAATAAAGGGGCATAACTCTAGAACGGTTAGAGTGACGCCACCAAAATTCACACTTGATCTGTGTTTTGTGGTAATAAGCACTGTGTATAAGTTTCATAACATTTGGTTGAGGCAAACGTAAGTTAGAGAACGGAAACTAAAATTTTTGCAATTTTTCCATTTATAAAGGGGCATAACTCTAGAACAGTTAAAGTGACGCCACCAAAATTCAAATTTGATCTGTGTTTTGTGGTAATAAGCATTGTGTATTTGTTTCATTACATTTGGTTGAGGCAAACTCAAGTTAGAGAACGGAAACCAATTTTGGGACGTACGTACAGACGGACAAGGTAAAACTTCATGCCCCCACCGCTACGGCGGGGGCATAAAAAAATAAGAAATGTATTTTTAGATTTTTATGGAGTAAATCTACATGTAGATAAATATTGCATCAAAAACCATGTAGGACATTACCAATAAATTATATTATATAAAGCACTAAAGTATTTCTAAAATTTCAAAAACATGTGGAATTTCAGTTTGAAAAACACTACTTCTACTGTCTTGTCCACTTAATAAAAACACAAAAATAAAGTGAATCTATCCTGGAGGCCATCCCATTTGACGACCACCCATCACATGGACATGTAGATGGTAAACAGATTGACCTCCCTTGACACCATCGTTAATGGTGATTCTAAATCCATCAGCTAATCCTACATCCTTAGCAACCTTCCTAGCAACTATCAATAAATGTCCAAGTAGCTGAAATAATAAAACAAAACATGCATATTTTTTTTCTACTGAAGAAGTTCAAAGGTTGTTTATCAATTTATCAATATACAAAAGCTGAATATTCAGAAATGAATGTGTGCATTTATCATCATGAATCCCTGATAACCATTCAATGTGAGATAAATACATGCAATCTGAAATCAGTACATACATACTTATAGAAAATTTCAAGTACTTAAGTAAATTTAACTTTTATAAATGCAATGAATGCCCAGTCACAATTTTCTTTCAAGCCATGCTCTATGCTCATTTTGACAGTAGTTGGCATTAAATTTGTCAATATCTTTATACTGAGTGTGTAATATTTTGACAAATAAAATGCCTTCCTGTGTTAAAATGAGCATAGAGCATGACATTAAATAATAATTTTGATTCTATATACATAATATAATAGGAAAATTTAGAACTTTTGTACTTTGAAGCAGACCTATGAGACGAAAGGCAACCATTTTGATAAATGGAAGCAAAAACATTCTAGAACAAGAATGTGTCCATAGTACACAGATGCCCCACTCGCACTTTCATTTTCTATGCTCATTGGACCATGAAAGTGGGGTCAAAATCCTAATTTGGAATTAAAATTAGAAAGATCATATCATAGGGAACATGTGTACTAAGTTTCAACTTGATTGGACTTCAACTTCATCAAAAACTACCTTGACCAAAAACTTTAACCTGAAGTGGGACAGACAGACGGACGAATGAATGAACGGACGGACTCACAGACAGAAAAATATAATGCCCCTAGGTGGGGCATAAAAATGCACTTCGCATGGAGCAACTGGATACGACCGCAGAGGTCGGACTCTAACCAGTTGGGGCAAGTAAAGACACAATATTCAAGCTTGATACAGCTCTGAATTTGGATAGTGATTAAATATTTGACACATTATAGATTTCTGACACAGAATAAATTTGGTCAGATAATTTAAAAATTTGAAATGGGACATTTAATCTACTTAATGGTCCAATATACAAAAACCAATTCCATGGTTAGATTCAGCATATAAAAAAAAAACATGAATTCAAACAAAAGTTTAATTTTGGACCCTTTGGACCTTAATATGGACTAATTTGAAACAGGGCCCACAATTAAAAATCTGAATGCATAGTTTGATTCAGCATATCATAGAACCATTAGAATTCAGTTTTTGATGAAATCAAACAAAGTCTTAATTTTGGACCCTTTGGACCTCAATGTGGACCTATTTAAAAATGTTCAAATATCCAATATAGTAATACATGGTAAAAACCTAAAACTATTCAAGACTTTCAATTAATCCTCCTTGAAATTGGTAAAATGATTTCTATTTATTTCCAATTAAAGATTTCTTGATGTTGTGCAATACTTAGTAAATCTGTTTACAAACTAAATATACATGAAATAATTTACACACCCTGTTTGGTGTTTTTATCTCTTGCCATATCAGTATTTTTTTTTTCTTTATATAGATCAGAAATAATTCAAGTTAGAACCAGATTAACCAGTATTAGAAAAGTCTTGTTTTTGGCCCCTATTTGGCCTCTAGTTTCTGAACAATTAAAGCCACAACCCACAAAATCGACCCCAACCTTCTGTGTGTGGTATGGAACCTTGTGGTACTATTTCATAGAGATCCATAGACTAATACTTAAGTATTTGTCCGGAAACCAGAAAAACCTTTTTCTTCCCCCTCCCCCCTTTTTGCCCCTTATTCCTGAACGATTTGAGCCAAAACCCCAAAAGTCAAACCCAACCTTCCCTTTGTGGTATGGAACTTTGTGTTTCAATTTCGTAGAGATCCATAGACTAATACTTAAGTAATTGTCCATTAACCAGAAAAACCTTTCCCCCCCTTTTTTGGCCCCTAATTCCTGAACGATTTTGGCCATAACCCCCAAAGACAATCCCAACCTTCCTTTTGTGCTATTGAACATTGTGGTTAAATTTCATAGAGATCTATTCCCTTATACTAAAGTTATTGTCCGGAAACCAAATGTTTTGGGACGACGACGACAACATGATAGCAATATACGGACACAATTTTTTTTGCGGTCGTATAAAATTAACCGTTTTATAATTGAAAATTGAACAGATGCACATAAACTTCATTTTAGAATGATTTTAATTTCCTTGTGTACAATAACTCCACAGACTGGTTTTACTCACTGTAGTCACATTCATATTTGATTGTGTCAAGCTTAAGTAATTCACCTTAATAATGCTTTACAGCAAGTTTTTACAGAGTCTAACACACCTTGCAGAAGCAGAGTTCCAACACACAACCTCAGTGTTGACAGGCTAGTTACCACTGTAGATGAACTACTTTGACCACTCTGCCACTGAGGCCCCATTTGAAAATACGTACAATTAGAACTAGTGTGATACGTGTCGCTGAAGCTAATTTTATTTGATGAATAATACTAATGGTACCGTTGGCCGGTGGCTAGTCTGTTGCAGGGAAAAATATCAGCTTATAATCCAGCAAACCCTTTTTTTAGTGGCAGTTTAGATTTCATACTCCTTGTCCACTTACTAGAAAACCTACCTTTTTCATTTATGGTTAATTTGTTGTCTTCCAGGATATGCATGAAATGTTCTTCACTAGACAATAAGCAAACAAGTCAGGAATCTCTAGCCTTCGTTAGTATTGTCTGTTTTTGTAGTTTTGGTTCATTTGTATGTTCCTGAGTTTAGTGTGGCGTCCATTTCACTGAACAAGTATACATTAATGTTAAGTGGCCATCTTCAGCCTCTGCAGGCCTGGTTAGAGGTTTCTTAGGAAGGACAAGAAATGGGTTGGAGCTTCAGGTGCTATATCATGTATTACCTTTTCATCAGAGTCTTCAGTCTCAGCAGGCCTGGTCAGGGGTTTCTTAGGTAGGACAAGGAAATGGGTTGGAGCTTCAGGTACTATATCATGTATTACCTATTCATCAGAGTCTTCTGTCTCTGCAGGCCTAGTTAGAGGTTTCTTAGGTAGGACAAGGAAATGGGTTGGAGCTTCAGGTGCTATATCATGGAAGGCAACACAATTAACATGCTAAACATAAAAATAACATATAATTACCTGTTCATCAGAATCTTCAGCATCAGATAACTTAACAATTGGTTTCTTTGGTATAACTAGGAAATGTGTTGGAGCTTGAGCACCGATGTCATTGAAGGCTACACACTGAAAAGATACAGTTTGATATTTTAATTCTAAGAAACATGTAGACTGTTTTTTGTGTGTGTCTGACTCCTTTATGAACTGATATTACTAAATTAACTACAGTAAATTAAGAAATTATTGCGAATTTTGAAGAATGGACAAAAATGCGAGATTAAATATTGCGATTTCGAGAAAAACTGCATACAGATAATTATGTATCAGATATCAGAATGCGAGTTCTTATCATTGCGATACTTCATGTACTTTAATACCAAGTCGCATTAATAAAAATCTCGCAATAATTTCTGAATTTACAGTATTCATTGTCAGTAAAACTGTCAACCCATAACTGAAAAAGAAATTTCTTCAATTTTACCAAACCACACAGATATAAAGTTAAACATACCTTTATAATCAAATTATAGTGCCCTGAGTAGAGCAGTACAATCATTCATAACTAAAAAAACAAATAAACAGAAAATGATTTTTATAATTGCATATTGAACATAAAGAATGGGAAAAACAAGAGGCTCTCAAGAGCCTGAATCGCCCACCTGTATTTCAGAGGAGAAGATTTTAAATGTTAGCAAACTTGATGAACAAATTGTGTAAAATTGTCTTTAAAGGGCAATAACTCCTTAAGGGGTCAATTGACAATTTTGGTCATATTAACTTTTTTGTAGATCTTACTTTGCTGAACATTATTGCTGCTTACAGTTTATATATATCTATAATAATATTCAAAATAATAACAAAAAACTGTAAAATTTTGTTAAAACTACCAATTCGGTGGCAGCAACCCAACATTGGGTTGTTCAATTCGTCTGAAAATTTCAGGGCCGATAGATCTTGACCAATTGAACAATTTTACCCCTGTCACATTTGCTCTAAAAGATTTAGTTTTTGAGATATAAGCCAAAAACTGCATTTGCCCCTTATGCTCTATTTTTAGCGAAGGCGGCCATGTTTGTCGATGAATACAAACTTTGGATACAAACTTATGATACAATTTATAAACAAGATACCCTAAGGAAACTGCATTTGACCCCTATGTTCTATTTTTAGCCATGGGGGCCATGTTTGTCGATGGATCAAAACGTTGGATACAATTTATAAACTAGATACCCTAAGGAACATTTAGTTAAAGTTTGAAGGTAATTGGCCCAGTAGTTTCAGAGGAGAAGATTTTTGGAATAGTTTACGACGACAGACGACGGACGCCAAGTGATGGCATAAGCTCACATGGGGGTGAGCTAAAAACCCCGACAAATATAGTATTATACCGTAGTTAAATTTTATCAGTTCTAGTTATTTCTTCCTGGGGAGTAAAAAAAGTAAATCATACAGTTTATATAGAATGAACGTTCAGCAAAGATATGCATTAGGCTTAATTGTTAACATTTCTTCTGTCTTATCAAATAAGTTCACAACATACAATTTAATTTCAACATTTAACATCATGATTATATTTTTTTTTCTTCCAAGTTACCAATAACCATGATAACCAAATTGATTTTTAATCAAAGGACAAATGAGAAATGTTTTACATTTTTTTAGGGAAAAATTAAATAGTCAATAGACAAGGACACTCAAATAAGAAATGAACCTGCTCTTCCACATTCAATGATGGTGGCTAAGACATTAAGTCATTGTGTGTGATGATAGAATCACTAAACTTATGTTTTTAATGTAAAATCAGGATTCATACTTTTGAATGTTATGCATGAGATGAATGTTTTTATAAACATGATAAATAATTTTACAAAAAATTCAAAAGATTGTTCTCGGTGACCAATCCTGTTTTTTAGGCAAAATCTGATAATAGGCTAAGTAGATGCAGCCAACTGAATTAACAATGTTCTTGATAAGCTTCTTCTTCAAAATTTTGTATTGACAAATAATTCAAAGACAGGAAATACTGTTAAGGTTAAAAAAAATCTGCCTCTGGGAGTAATAATAAATTTTAACTGTAAAAAATTGGCACAACAGTCAAATATGAAAATTCTTGCTTAATATGGTTAAACATGTTGGGTACAACCAGCCAAATTTTGAACTGTCATCTTAAATGATTCACAATCCCTCAATTGGGTTATAATTTGAAAGTGCTGAAAATGTATTTTTTATAAAATTGTACAATTTATTAGATAAACTGTCATAGCTATGTCTTGCCTGTATGTAATTTGTTAGTAAAATGCAAATGTTGAATTCAAAACAACAATATTTTTACATGCAAAATATTCAAAGTCAATGTACCATGACTGAAGGTACAGGTCCAATGGAAATCAGATATATGCAAAAGCTTAGATAACTGCATACCGAAATCATATTTCTCATCAACTAACCTAATTACAAACTTTAATATATATAAACTTTGCAAATGGGCAATTATTTGGTATTTGGCCTTTGGTTTCTTTTTTGTATCTTTTTTTTTAAGTTCTAAAACTTTAACTTTTATTCTGTGTGTTGTGTTGGTGTGATAATAGTATTAATGGAACAAGTGGGTTTTTCGAGCAAAAATTAATCCATTGTGATTCACCGTTTTCGTGACAGGAAACCAAACAAGAAACAAAACTTTATTTTCTTTATTTTGTATAATTTATTTCAAAAGACATAAATGAACACAATTACTAGTGTTACTTGCTTCATGATAATATTTAAAATCTATTTTCAATGTTAAATTATGGATTTTTTTAAATGAGACAGGAAACCATAAGAAACCGAAAGCATTTTTTTTTAGTTTTATTTTATTGGAAAATCAGCTTAAAATAATCTGAACAGTAAACTTTTTCTTGATAATGTTACTTATAATTTTGGTTTTTAAATTTAGGACTGTTTTTGATAATTTTTTCCAATAAAAACTATGAGAATATAGAAACAAGGGTGTCACTAAAATAAATTATTTTTGGGCGCCAACTGATTTTGACTACCAATGAATTTTCTCTTGCTTTTTGTTATAATTCTTATACACTTTTATATGTAGCACATGTGCCTATTAACCCTTAGAAACCCAATGCAGTGTGCTAGCTAGCTCTGTAACACAATTGCATGGTTTACACTTTGTGCTTATGCGTCACTAACCAGAAAATTCAAGCACTGTATAAACTGGGAGATCTAGCTAGTGCTACTTATCTTATATAATGTACTTTTCTATAAAGGGCTGTTCCAGAACTGAATGTATGGGGGTGTTGGGAGGCACTTTCTCAGCTCCCACTTTTGATTCAATTGAAAAGATGCAGGACATTTTAAATTTCTAAATTTTATTGAACACAAAACAAAAAGCGTGATCCAACAAACATATTAATGTTTGGAACATCCAATATGTTAGTGATAAAAATAAAATTGAGAATGGAAATGGGGAATATGTCAAAGAGACAACAACCCGACCAAAGAGCAGACAACAGCCGAAGTCCACCAATGCGTCTTCAATGCAGCGAGAAAATCCCGCACCCGGAGGTGGTCCTCAGCTGGCCCCTAAATAAAATTGTGTGCTAGTTCAGTGAAAATGGATGTCACACTAAACTCCAAAACATATAAATGAACTAAAATTAAAAAGATACAAGACTAACAAAAGCCAGAGGCTCCCGACTTGGGACAGGCCCAAAAATGCAGCGGGGTTAAACATGTTTTGTGAGATCTCAACTCTCACCCTATACATCAAGTCAATGTAGAAAAAAGAAACACATAGCAATACGCACAGTAAAACTCAGTTTAAAAGAAGTCTGAGTCCGATGTCAGAATAGGTAACAAAAGAAACTAAGCAAAATGACAATGATACATAAATGAACAAAGGACTACTAGCAGTTACTGACATGCCAGCTCCAAACCTCAATTAACTTGAAAGATTAGGTCTTCATCATATGAAAATCAAGTACAATCCCTCCCGTTAGGGGTTTAGTATCATACCATCATAAAATATATGAGAAGAACATAACCTGTATCATGCCAACAACTGGTTTTAGAATAAATGTGTTTATTTCCGATGCAAAGACCCTATGATTGAATCAATATTAATACCAAAATATGCTATCCTTAATGATTTTGATGTCCATTTTATCCATAGTATATGTAGTATCTTGCAATGTCCACCCTGTCCCTTGCTTTTTGTAAAATTGCATGTTTTTATATAAATTAGACTGTTGGTTTTCCCATTTGAATGGTTTAACACTAGTAATTTTTGGGGCCCTTTATAGCTTGCTGTTCCGTGTGAGACAAGGCTCCGTGTTGAAGACCATACTTTGACCTATATTGGTTTACTTTAATAAATTTTGACTTGGATGGAGAGTTGTCTCATTGGCACTCATACCACATCTTCTTATATCCAATAAAAGTTTGAATTGTTTTACATTTGTGATTTCAGGACCTTTTATAGCTGACTATGTGGTATGGGCTTTGCTCATTGTTGAAGGCCGTACGGTGACCTATAGCTCAGCTGTAAATTTCTGTGTCATTTGGTCTCTTGTGGAGAGTTGTCTAATTGGCAATCATACCACATCTTCTTTTTTATATAGACAAGATTCCATTTACAAAACATAATTTTGTGGGTGTATAGAAATTCAATGAAATCCTATAATTGTTCACACCCATTCATTACAACTGCTGGAAAATTACAATTAAGTACCATGGATTACAGAAATATAACCAAAAACCTGATTTACCAAAAAGAATAGCCCGGTTTATTTCACTCAATTTCTTTCCAAAATTTGTGACCACAAATATATAAATTTGATTAAAAAAATTCTGGTAAGTTGTTATTGGGCTCTTTTCTCTAAAGGTCACAAGTTTGATTGTACCTTCTTATCATTCAATACAAATTATGACCGATCTTCAAAGTCACAAGTCCTTAGATTAAACAGAACCCTATAGTTCCTTTCAGCAAGGGCAACTGTAAAAAGCTTATTTTACATGTCAACATTAAAGTGACATGTTATTTCATGCAATGTTTTATCATGGCAAATTTGATATAGGTGAACATATTTTCAAAGCAAAATGTTACTTTTAAGTTGAAAAGAAAAGTGTTTTGA